GAGTGTATGTCACAACATATTACGCTACCAATGACTCCTTTCCTATCAGCCATATCATTTATTACGTTATTACCCGGGCGGTTACCTCACTCATTAAATCTGCGTTGTTTGGCGTCAAACAGTAAGGCAAGTTCCTTTTTGTTAGTCGCTGGGAGGTGTTTGACATTGGAGCCTGGTTGGGGGTTGCAGGAAGTTGCAGGGGGTCGTTGTTTTATGGTCGTCTGAAGATGAGAAGGTGTATTTAGAGTGTGTGGCAGCTCATTTCCTACCTCAGCCTGGTTTCTACTGTAGATTATTTTTGTGCTTGCACATTAAAGACGAGGGTGCCACGGTGGTCAACTGGTTAGCACATCGGCCTCACAGTGCAGAGGTGCAGGGTTTGATTCCGACTCCGGCCTCCCTGTGTGAAGTTTGCATGTTCTCCCCGGGCTGCGTGGGTTTTCTCCGGTACTCCGGTTTCCTCCCACATTCCAAAAACATGCATGACAGGTTCATGGAACACTCTAAATTGTCCCTACCATCCAGTGTGGATGGTTTTTCATCTTTGTGTGCTCCGCGATTGGCTGGCAACCGGTTCAAGGTGTTCCTCGCCTACTGCCCGAAGATGACTGGGGTAGGCTCCAGTTTTAGTTCCATCTGACTTCTTATCTGTCTGTCAGGGTGCCAGGATTACGTCTGTCCATTTTCGGACAGGTGGCTTCTGTCTGCCCCCTGCTGGAGATCTCAGGAACTTCCTTCTTCTTCTTGACACTGTCAGACGAGATGCACACACTACCCGTCCTGGTCAAGGTACACACAGACACACACATGAACCGTCGTCTCTGTGTTTCGAACTTTTGCTTCTGATGTGTGCGTAGAACAACAGCAAGCTGTGGTGGGCGCAGTGCGTGTCGTTGGGCGAGTCCGTGTGCGTGACAGCGTTGCGTGTGTGTGTCCTACGGCCATGGGGAGAGAAGAACATCCTTTGCGCGACCGATAACTCCGAAATACACAAGACGCACGATCGACGGCGCCCGCCGGCCGAGGACACGCCGCCGGACCCACCTCCCTTGCCGCCAACGTCAGAGCCCAGGAGATGCGAGGGCGAACCGGACGGCAGGATCAAAGAGTCTCAAGTCATCAACTACCAGGTGAGAAGCGCTGCCAGTTCTTTGTGTATGACTCTACTAGTGCCGCTCTTTTCTGTTGTTAGGGGACAGTCACAGAGGTGGTGAGCGCGGGAGCGGGGCTTTACGTGATGGACAGGAAGCGAGGACTGTGCCTGGCCTATCAGCCTGAGTTGAAGAGGAAGCTGCGAGTTGGCGACGCGCTGGCGGTGAGATCGTGTTAGCCCATCTGGGTTTGGGTTAACTTTTTCCTTCCTTTCCGCCTTCTCCCTCTTCCTTCCTTCCTTCCTTCCTTCCTTCCTTCCTTCCTTCCTTCCTTCCTTCCTTCCATCAGAATCACCTTGCATTTTGCGTGCTTGCTTCTACTTTTTTTGCATTCCTTCTTTTGTCTTTGAGACCTTTATATCCTTCCTTCCTCTTTGACCTGCTTTGTATCCATGCATGCCTACATCCTTCCGTCCTCCGGTTGAACCTACTTCTCTGCTCTCCTTCCTTCCGTCACACCTGTTTTTTTTCATGCTGCCTTACTTCCATCTTTCGTTTGTCCTTCCTTCCTCCGCTTGAACCTACTTCTCTGCTCTCCTTCCTTCCATCACACCTGTTTTTTTTTCATGCTGCCTTACTTCCATCTTTCGTTTGCTCACACTATTTTTTTCCCTTCCTTCCTTTTGTTGTAAGCTTTTTCTTGCCTTCCTTGACTTCAGACGTGTGTTTTTTTGGGATATTTTTTCCTTCTGACCTGTTTCCCTCCGGCCTTCCGACGCCCAGACCCACTTGTTATTCATACACCCTTCCATCCTTCTGCCCGTCGTTAAACATACTTTTCTGCCTTTTTCCTCATGCCGTCCTTTCTTCCTCCTTCCTTCCTTCCCAACCAACTTTCTTTTACCTCAGACTTGTTTTCTTTTTTCTTTCCTTTCTTCCTTCAATCTAGTTTTCTGGCTTCCCTCCGTTACCTGCCCAATACTGCTTTAGAATCCAATTTATTCGTTCATGATGCAAGGTATCTGCCATTTTTCACAGTGCCTTATAGAAAAATGGATAAATTAAAAATATCATTTAAAAAGTGCTTGCTTGATGCATTGATTTTAGCGTGATAATGAATCAAAAAGGATCCATGTTGCCGTCCCAATCCAGCTCCATCACGTTCACTTCCTGTACCAGCCGTGTCCAGACTTCCCTCCTCCCAGCATGCTTTGCACTTGCCTGCGCTCCACTGTGACGGTGACAAAGTTTAGCGCCGTTCTAGCCTCGGACTCGAACCGCAATTGCCCTGACGACGGCGTGTTGCAGAGGTTACTGGTAGAGAGGAACCCGGATGTGTCCCGGTACCTGTGGACGTGCCACCTTTGCTCGCAGCTTCAACACAGGTAAAGGGGGAGGGTGGGGGAGGGGACCATTAGCATCCACGCGCTAACTCACGTCTTCGTCTCAGCTTGCTCCCCAGTACGTCGCCACAGTGCACGTGCCTGTTGTCGTGGAAACTGATGGAGGTTGCGTTTGGACAAGGACAACGACGCAGAAGAGACATCTATGCTGAGATGTTGGACAAGCCCCACACTTGTCCGCTGACAGAGGTAGACCCTCCACAGCAACAACACTATATCACGAGGCATCATTTTTTTTTTTTTGTGTGTGTGGTGTTTTTTTGCATATACGAAGCTATTAACATGCAATACTCCCATCTCAGAATATACCGTATTGGCCCGAATATGAGATGGCCCTGATTATAAGACGACCCCCTCTTTTTCAAAACTCAAGTTTGAAAAAAGACTTTTTGAACACATTTTTATACAGATAATAATTACAGTTCATCTTAAACAAATGATTCTAACAATATATTTGAGAGAAAAAGCATGTTATTTTGCCTCATTCAAATCTTAATATCTGAACATTTAAATATGTAAACCAAAGTGCAATCACATTCGTAAATGAATGGCTTCTGATTTTTTAAATGTAAATAACATCATAACTTCTCCTCAGCTGCCAGTTCACCAGGCCGATCTTCGGCCCACTTTTCTCCAGATTGTCGCGATGTTTCTCCATTTTCTGTTATCTCTTCTATTATTTTCTTCTCTTTTCTTTCTTACCGCTATTTTTTATTTTTCTTCTTCGTGCTACCGCTATTTTTATTTTTATTCTTCGTGACAGGGGTTCACTTTGGCCTGGGGAGTCAAGTTCAGCATTCGCTTCAATGATATCTGGCGCCATCTAGCGTCGTGAATGGGTATAATGTCTAGACCCCGAATATAAGACGACCCCCACTTTTTCAATGTCTTATTTCAATGAAAAAAACACCATCTTATATTCGGGCCAATACGGTACTTAACCAAACTGTACAGTATTTTCAATACATTTCATGATCGCAATTTTTTTGTAATCAAATTCATGCCACGTGTTGAAAGGTGAGCTTGAATAAGTTTAAATATGATTAAAGTATGTGGGAGGGGTGAAAGCACGATAATGTATGGACAGATAGATGGCTGTATTTATAATATGCACTCTCTCAGTTGCAGATTTTCACCAATCAGGGCACACATAGACAAACATTCACAATCACACCTAAGGACAATTTTGAGTTTTCATTGAACCTACCATGCATGCTTTTGGCATATGGGAGCAAAAAGGAGTACCCGGAAAAAACCCACGCAGGCACAGTTTTTTTAAGACAATGACTGGCGGGTTGGGGCGGGGGAGTACTTTAACCTACCATGCATGCTTTTGGCACATGGGAGTAAAAAGGAGTACCCGGAGAAAACCCACGCAGGCACAGTTTTTTTAATACAATGACTGGCGGGTTGGGGCGGAGGCGTACTTTAGTCTTTAATGCCATCCATCCATTCATTTTCTACTCAGTCAACCTGCCATGCATGTTTTTGGTTTGGAATTTGGGAGGAACCAGAGTACCCGGAGAAAACCCACGCAGGCACAGGGAGAACATGCAAACTTCACGCAGGAAGGCCAAAGCAGGGTTTGAACCCATGACCTCTCCGGTTAGAGGCGGATGTGCTAATGAGTCAATCACTGTGCCGCTTTGTGATAAAAATATTTTTCTAAAATATAACAAAAAACTGAATACTTAGCAAAAATTGAGCTGAGGCATACAAAATGAAATGAGTAAAACATGCCTAAGGTATAAAATCTTAATATGCAAAAGGTGGAGGAACATTTGTGTGGGTCTGAACCTTGACAAATGGGCAAAAGGTAAAATGGAGATACAAAATCTTATTTTGCTATTCAAAATGTGTGCTTCTCACCTACTGGGCCACAGACAGCGCCCCCTGCTGCTTGTGGGAGTGCTGGAACTGCCGTCAGGCGCGTCCCTACATACGCTGCAGCTGAGAGACCGCACAGGAGCCATCGCCTGCGTCATCACGGAAACGACCCAGGAAGAGGCGGCAGGCCACAGCGGGGCCTTCAATACTGCATGGATAGGTACACACGCACACGCTGATTGACAGCAAGTACAACCTGTCTTTACTCTTTTTCGTGTGTGTGTGTGTGTGTGTGTGTGTGTGTGTGTGTGTGTGTGTGTGTGTGTGTGAGTGTGTGTGTGTGTGTCTTCATGTTCAGGTTGTCTTGTGTGTGTCCAGCAGTTCACCATGGTAACGGAGCGTTTCCTCCAATCAGATTTCCCCTCTTACCAACACCTGAATCAGCATAAGTTCATCACACACAAACACTGCAGGTTCACACACACACACACACACACACACACACACACACACACACACACACACACACACACACACACACACACACACACACACGCCCACAAACTACAGTTGTGGTTTCTGATCGTGTGTGTTTGTGTGTGTGAAACAGCATTTACCTCCAGTTCTCCCAGGAGAGCATTCACATTTTGAGTCCATCCGTTGCCATGGAAATGCACCTGCGTGACAAAGGGGAGGAATCGGGGGAAGAAGAAGAAGAGAAGGAAACTGTGGCGAGGAAGCGAAGACGAACGGCCGAGGACCCAGAGCCCTCGCGGCCTTTGCGGCCTTCGCCTGTTCCTGCGACAAGCTGTGTCTCGGTGGTCCTTCGGGTTGAGCAGAAGACCGGCGTGATGTGGCGGGAGGATGCAGAGGCGTCTTTTTCCGTCACAGCGACTGTGATCGGGCCGGTGAAGGCCTGGGGGCGGGACCCCAAAAACAGGCCAATGAAAGACTTTGAGACAGGCAATGAGAAAAAGGTGAGAGGTTAATAAAGGGCTTCAGCAATCAGCAATGTTACACACATTCGTGTGTGTGTGTGTGTGTGTGTGTGTGTGTGTGTGTGTGTGTGTACACATAAATGGAGACTCGCACACAAAGAGAGAGACAAATGGAGAGGGACTCAGGACCACACATACCCACAAACAGACACACAGATACACTCACACAGAGAAACCTGTACAGTAGGATTCGAATGATCCACGTGTGTGCGCGCAGGTGACCCTGTTGTGTTCCGGCGCGTCGGCTCGCTGGTTTCCTCTCCTGCAGCCGGGACGCGTCTACAGACTGGTGGCGAGCGGCACGCACGTACGTATGCCACCGATTCATCGTCGCGCCTGTCCGCTCATTGTTGGCTCTCCGTCAGGACGTCGGCGTTCTGGCGGCCGACGCCGGCCCTCGATGGAGCCAGGACGTCACCCTGCCAGTCCAGCCCGATTGGAAGTTCCACACGCTAACCCGACTCCTCGCACACGCATGTCACTGCAGCACGGTGTCGCAAGTTCTAGACGGCAGGTGTGCGGTGCTCGCTGTTCAATGTCATCGTTACAGGACGCATCAATCGATAAAGTTGATCCGTGTGTGTGTGTGTGTCTGTGTGTGTATGTGTGTGTGTGTGTGTGTGTGTGTGTGTGTGTGTGTGTGTGTGCATACAGTGCCGATGTGGTGTCTTTTCAGGGTTTTGTCTCAGACCGAATCAATCTAAATGACAGTACCAGGGATGCTGGACACACAAACATTGGTGTGTGTGTCTCTCTCTCACACAAACACACACGTGTTTGACAAAAGAAAGCACTTCACCGACTCGGTTTGCGTGTGTAGGTGTGCGTCTTACAGTGTGTGACCAAAGTGGACGAAGCCTCCATGTCTTCCTGAACTTCAACCGTAACCAGTATCCGCCTGGCCTGTTACCGGGAAACACACTGCTGATGTCTGCTTTCCGCAGGAGGGTATCCAGGTAACCTACACTCAGAAAGACACACACACACACACACACACACACACGATGTCTGTTACTACTTGTGTGTGTGTTTATCAGGTCGGGACGCGTGTATTGCAGTAACATAGCAGTCAGCTGGGTAGCAGTGTTGCGGGTTCGAGATGAGAGGTATCGGCAAGCGTCCGATTTCCCAAGTCATTTCCGGCACGCACGCGCTTCACCTGGACTTGTTGTACAGTAGGTTGGAGGACCGCCCACCCGCTCCCATCATGCACCTGGCCCTGTGGACACGGCACAGCCGCACCGTGGGCCGAGTCAAGGGACATGTGGTGTGTTTCCTCTTCATGCAGCTGCAGTGGAACTGCTTTGAGTGTGGCAGTGTGTACGCACAGGTACACACACCTACACACACACACAAAGACCGGAGGGCATAGTGTGTGTGCATTTATTGCTGTATTGTAGGGCAAAGTGGGAACGTCAATACAATACATGCTGATTTTTATAGCGCTTTCACAACAGCTGCAGCTGTAACAAAGCGCTTCACAAAACAGTTAACATCAAGTCAAATAATAAACACAACACATAACATAAAACACAGACAGTCATGTAATCCTAACCACTTTTCCCTGATATGCTTTGTTGTTTAAAGCAGTTTGAGATGTCAGATATCAGAAACGTCAGACTTCTGCCCATGGGTAGCTTCCGTGCGCTGGCGCTACATTATCAGAGTCACAAACCCACAAGCAGAGTTTGTGTCCACTCATTTGTGCTGTGGAGAATACATGAGGAATACAAATGCAGGACAAATATCCGAAAAAAAAATGCACACAGTGTCAGCTTGCCTATTCAGACTGGTGGATTCACCTACAGTATCTAGAGACTTTTTTTTTTTGGGGGGGGGGGCACTATTATTCTACACTATATTTGTGGAGAGCCCACAGCAATGTCTCAAATAAAAGTATTGCTTTGGAGTGAGTGGAGGAGCTTCGTGTAATGCTCAATAGCATTTTTTTTTTTTTTGGGTGCAGGGATGAGCAACTTCAACTTCCAAACCAGGTCTATGAACAAAATGTGCCACTTTTAATGTGGAAGAATATGTGCTCTTAATATATTTCATCATGCATGGCAGGCTAATGGAACATTCAAAATTGCCCCCGAGGGGTGATTGTGAACGTGAATGGTTGTTCGGTTCTGTGTGCGCCCTGCGATTGGCTGGCAACCGGTTCAGGGTGTCCCCCGCCTCCTGCCCGAAGACAGCTGGGAGAGGCTCCATCACACCCGCGACCCTCGTGAGGATAAGCGGATTAGAAAATGGATGGATGGATGGATAACACAATTCTCAATTCATGGATAAAAGATCCAGTGTCCTCTGGTTTGATTTATTTATTTATTGTGCAAAGGGCTCTCTTATGCAAAAATGACCATTCAAGGGTGGCACAGAAAAAAACAGCATACCACCATTAAATGTAAGAACTCATTTTGTGCATTTTTTTCCTCACCAATCAAGTCACCCAAAATGTTAACAGAATTGAGGAACCATGTTTGACTTGTGTTGTTGTATGTAGCAGTACGAGACCCGGTAGAAGCGTAACTAAGCCACATCTGCATTTATCCATCCACCCATTTTCCGATCTGCTTTATCCTCACAAGGGTCGCGGGGTTGCTGGAGCCTATCCCAGCTGTCTTCAGGCAGTAGGTCGGGGACACCCTGAGCCGGTTGCCAGCCAATCGCAGGGCGTCTCCATTTACTGATGAAAAAAAACTACAGTCGACCCTGTGTACTCGCGATTTACAGATTTGCATATTTTCCAATTTCTTTCTTTATATATCCCCAGTTTCATGAGGATATTTTTCCCCTTTTCCCTGATTTTTTGTTGTAAGCGTATACTGTACTGAATACTTATCAGTGTCTTTTTGAAGAATTTTTGAGGTTTGAAAATGTTTTTTAATTCAAATTGTTGGGGTGGGGGGCAGCGGGGGGTTAATCAGTCTCTCAAAGTGTGGTCCTCTCTCTTTTTCTCGCTCTTAGTCATCTTGCAGTGGCCAGTGTCTCTCGCCCTCGGCTGTCTTTGACTGCACCGTCAAGTAAGTGTGCCACGTGATCGGCGACTGCTTACCTTGATGATGATGATGATGATGATGGCGGCCAGGTTGGTCATGGAGGATGGCACAGGACAAGCTCACGTCCAGTTCACCGGGGCGCTCGTGCGCCAGCTGCTGGGTCTGAACTGTCCCCAGTGGGAGGGGCTTCAAAGAGCAGTGAAGGCCAGAGGACACATCCAAGTGTACCCCCGCGGGCGGAGCCAGGTCGGGTCGAACCCTTGCCTCCCGCCTCCCCATCGACGACGGCGATTGGCCGCTCGTCAGTAAAACGCTTCCCGCTTCTTTCTTGCAGACGTGCGATGACAGGCTCCTTGACTTCCTGTTGTTGTGCGCGGAAGGCGTCAACTCGTTGTTTCTGACCTGCATCATAGACAACCAGGCCAAAGAAGGTAACACACACAAACACAGACACACGCACGGGACTTACAGACTAACACGGGTGCATTACTCTGACACACAACCTCACACAAGGACAAGACACACACGGACGCTCACTCACAAACATGTCGTGCTTACACAGAAACACACACATGGAGATACACACATGAACACAAACTCAAGACACACAAAACACGGCGATAGACACAAAGGTGGACTCTAACAAACACACAAAATGGCTGAATGTGTCACCCGATGGATCAGCACAGCGGTTTGTTTCAGAGGTCAAAAGGTTGAGACGTGGCAAGAGGGACTTCCTGACGAGAATGGCGCCCCCCCTCAAACTCACCTGTCAACAAATTCACTGAGCAATGTCAATTCGTCTCTGCTTGCTCTCCGTGGCAACAGCCAACAAAACAGAAAGTCACGTGATGTTTACAAATGTTAAATAAAGTGAAGTGAAACAAGCTCTGAGTCCTTTTTTTTTCCACTCACAAAAAAAAAAAAATCAACTTGGAAATTTGGAGATTGGCTTTCCTAGTTACTGATGACACAGGCAATTCTCTGCATTGTGATTGGCTCAAAATCCGCTGCTGCTCTGAAGCTGCGGGTCAAGTCTCACCGAGTGCGGCAGAAGCTTCAAGTCAACAAGATGAAGGCGCTGGTCTTTCTCGTCCTCTTTCTCCGTTGCGGCGACGCCGCGGCAGACGGTAAATGTAGCGACCTGAAAGCAACACTTGAGTACAACTATCTTAACAGGAAATACCTTTGATAGAAACTTAAGTCGGCTTTTAGAGTTGAACTTGATGAGATGTCTTTCGGTTTCTGACACTTGCTGTTTTCAAGTATCAAAAATCATTTTCCAGTCTTAAATGTACGGAAGTATTAGACGTATTTTTTAAAATGACTGGTTATTTTGATTAATTCCCCCGGGGTGCGCATTAGTTCAAGTTTTGCATGTTGCAATTTTATTTTTTTTTAAATCAGTGGTTATTTTGATTTATTTTCATGTTTTCTCTCCCGCAGGGTATGCATGAGTTAATTCTTTACGTGTTAGCTCCTGAGCGAAGTTACGTGGCCAGGAGACGAATAGGCCGATATAAAAACTTCCAGTGCCCGTATTAATAAATAAAGAAATACAAATTTAAAGGGGCAGATTGTAAAAAAAACAAAAAAAAATGTTTTCTTCCAATGTTCATTAATTTAATATGTTGCACTTTATAAAGTAGGAAAGGTTTTTTGTTTTTTTTTTGTCACACTGCATCAATTGAATGGTACGGAGCCCCCAAGGCACAGGTGCCCATTTCGTCAATCGCGATCGACCGGTAGATCGCGGCCTGGTCCCAAGTCGATCCGGAGGGGTGTAGAGGAGAAAAAAAACAAACCAACCATTTGTGTGTCTTTGTGCATGTTAGTAAGATATTTTTTGTGTTAATGTACACTGCACCATAACCAACCTGTCTCATTTTCATAAAAAACTATTTAAAAAATAAAATAAAGCCGGTTAATCTTTAACCTACGGCGGCGCGTGACCTGCGTCACCAGAAGTTGTTAGCGCTCAGCAGTCTGCAATTGCAGCTTACGACCAGAGCTGTTGCGCTATATCTTTTCTCGTTATTATTCTCATTCAGTTTGTTTCATGTACAATTCACCGAGGGCACGGGCAAAGAATAGGAATGTAGAGGGCCCAGGGAAGCACTTTAAACAGTACGTGTGAGCAACAATAGTTAACAGGCTGCAAAAGTTCGTCACATGCCTCCGTTGTCAGGCTGTTGCTCATCATGGCGCGCGTGTGTATGTGCGTGCGTGTGCGCGGTAACGGGTCGATCGCGGGAGGTTGGTTGATCGAAAAGTCTATCTTCGGTCCAAAAAGTTTGGGCACCCCTGCCAAGGGGACATGGAATAAGAAAAAAAAAACCTTTGCATTCGCTCGCAAAGTTTGCGAGACATCGCAATCTTTTTTTTTCTTTTTTGTAAGGGGACGCTTTTTTTTTTTTTTTTAATGCGCGATTTGGTACTTCCGGGTCAACTTGGCTTATGTCAGCTTCACTCTCATGCACGGCTGATTGAGAGACGACACTACTTTGGGGAAGGAGACACTCATGGATGAGAATCAACAACAGGTTTCATGTCTTTGTATTTCAAGCCAATTATCAAAGTAAAATTCAATGAAACTCATCAACAGGTGAAAACATGCCACGTTTGTTGTTTTCAGTTACCAGGACGATGACCCGGAAGTACATCAACGCCATTAAAAAAAGTTTGTAATATCTCGCAATCTTTGCGAGGGAATGCAAAATTTTGCAAGGGAATGCAAGGATGTTGTTTTTTCTTCTTTGTCCCCTTTAGGGCTCCATAGAATGGCCATTATCTATAGTGCTTGCCTTGGCCACAGGCAGATAGAACGAACTGTCTCAACCCCTCTTAACTCATCAATATATCATGAATATTCGTTGTTCTTCACCTCAGATAAAGAAGATGACTGAGGCTTGTTCCATTGTCCCCATGTTGGCTCTTTTTGTTCATTTCTGTCCCTAACCCTTGCTAAAAGGATTATAGAACATTACAGTAGATGCTAATTATGAGCATAAACTAGCGGACTAAAAGTCTGAATTATGTGGTTGTTTCACATACACAAGGTATAATTCATATTTATTTGTTGCTTAAACTTCAACTGCGAGTGGAACAGCTTGAAGCCTCTTTTTGAAACAACTGTTGACTATTTCCCAAAAAGTGGTGCTTATCGAGTTGTTTCACTGTCACCATGTGGCGCTCGTATCTCAAGAAATAGTCATAAGTTGAGTGACTCATATCTCAAGGGCACCAATGAAAGACAAATATAAACATTTTAGGTGGGGGGCAATTACTTGTGGTTTTTCGCTGTTGGTGGCAGGGCTTGCGGGGGAAACGGTAAAGTTTATCCAAATGTATCGCTGCCGAAACGCTTGAAAAGACAATCGTTGATGGGTCGCTTCTTCTCAGTCATCCACACAGATATGCAGGTGGTTGGCTGCTCTGAGGCGGAAGGAGCAGCGTACAACTCTCTGGACGACGAGGACATATGGGTTGCCGATTTCACCGCCAACAGGGGTGTGGATACACAGCCCAGCTTTGTGGATCACGTCAGCGTTGGCAAAGATGATTTTCAGTGGGCAATGGGCGCTCTAATCGTATGCAGAAGAAACCTCAACATAACCCAGAAAGCATTGAAGGATCAGCCACTAGAATCTGGTACTGTAACGCCACCAACCCCGAGTGTGTGAGAGAATGTGTGTGACAGACACATTGAGACACAGAAATATGGAGACACAAAGATATTGACACCAAACCACACAATCTAAGACGCATATGAGCACAAACAAACATAAAAAGACACGCATGGACAGACAAATATTGAGACACACAAACATGAACACAAAGTTGGGCGCATGGAGAAATACACACACACACACACACACACACACAATATTGGGTGCCAACACACATGCTTTTGTCTTTTCAGATCCTCCCTCCCATCCCATCGTCTACCCGAAAGACAACGTGGCTCTCGGAGAGAAGAACACACTCGTATGCCACGTGAGCGGCTTCTTTCCGGCGCCCGTCAAAGTTCACTGGACCAAGAATGGTGAACCGGTGGCGGGCGCAGTGAGCCGCGCCACCAGCGCCTTTCCCGATAAGGACGGCTCCTTCCACCAGACCTTCCAACTGGACTTCACTCCCGCACAAGACGACATCTACTCGTGCGTGGTGGAACATCCGGCCCTGGAGCGTCCACGTAACACCTTCTGGAGTGAGTGAGCATCGCAAGCGAGCGCTCGGCTTGCAAAATTTTCCAGCTTGGAGATTTTCCATGGGAAGCAACAGGAATGTACAAAATCACAATCATCTTTCCCCATTGAAATGAATGCAATGCCATTAATTCCTGCCAGCCTTCCCGTCAAAAAAAAAAAAAATTCTTGTCTGGTATATTTCAATGAGGGGGGAAAAAATCACTTTATAATAGTGTATGCGATTAAAAAAAACAAATTGTAGACAGAATTGTAAACAAATGAATTGCCGCTGTTCTTTCTTTCTGGTTTACCTGCTTTGGCCACCTCGGGTGGGACTAATAAGACAGATGTCCGTTGAGTTTTCTCATCTCCTCTCTCAGTTCATCACTGCGGCAGTAATATTTCGCTCTTTGCAGATGATAAATAACGTGACTGTGGGTACCGTTATATCTGTCGAGATATGTTGGTGGATCATTTGTGTTAAATCTGTTTGTTAAAGGGTTACAACATCATAACATAAATGCTCATTTGTTTTAGCATTAAGCTATTGGACTGATCAATGTTTTGGCATTTTCCATGTGTGCAGGTTATGTGAAAAGCAAATGTTACTACTTTGCATTTGTGTCATGTGAGGTTTATGTTTATAAAAAAAAAACATTTGTTTTTTTGTTTTTGTTTTTTCCGATGGGGGCTGGAACGTATAATTGCATTTCTATTAATTTCACTGCAGAAAGATGACATGATTGTTTAGTGATTCAAGTGTGGTCACAGAGTAAATGAAGCTGCTGTCTTGAGGCACCATGTAATTCAAAAATTTGCCATCTGAACTTCCCTTGGAAATGTAGCAGTCCTTTTCAAGCGCTAATGCTAATGCTAACCGCAATTTCCTGTTTCCAGCGGTGAAGGTGAACCAGCCGGGTATCGGAGCCACCGTCTTCTGTGCACTGGGGCTGACTGTGGGACTTGTGGGCGTGGCCACCGGCAGAGTAAATGAAGCTGCTGTCTTGAGGCACCATGTAATTCAAAAATTTGCCATCTGAACTTCCCTTGGAAACGTAGCAGTTCTTTTCAAGCGCTAATGCTAATGCTAACCGCAACTTCCTGTTTCCAGCGGTGAAGGCGAACCAGCCGGGTGTCGGAGCCATCGTCTTCTGTGCACTGGGGCTGACTGTGGGACTTGTGGGCGTGGCCACCGGAACCTTCTTCCTCGTCAAAGGAAACAAATGCAACTGATTGGCTGGCGCACATTATGTCTTCACTTTTTTTTTTTTCCTGCTTGAATAAAAAATACAGTGAACCCCAGTGTATTGCAGAATATGGATGCATTTTTAAACAACAAAATGTACACCCAAACATTATGATTTGGGATGGGCCAGTACAGATAGCATATATGGGTAACAGTCTGATATTGGCCTTTTTTTAAGGTATTGGGTACTTGTGGAGGCTGCCGATATCAACTACCAATACTTAAGGCAAAACAAATCTGGCATCGAGTAAGTCCTCCTCAGTAGTAGGTGGCGCTATGCTGTGATGAATATTACCTGTTAAACAAGGAAATGTATTTGTTCACATAATTTTGTCATTGTGTTTAATTTTTTTACATAAAAATAGAGGTACTGACACTCTGTATCGGCGAGTACTTAGAGTGAATACTCTACTCATACAGCCATACCTCGGTTTTCGACCGTAATCCGTTCTGGAACGCTGTTCGAAAACGATTTCTTCTGAATCCCAAACTATTTCATTAGCTCATGATTTAGGGCTAATACACTATGCAGAAATAACAAAACAACAGTCGGATTTGTGTAAATCACAACAAACACGTCTGCTCACAATGAACGTCACACGAGGAAGCGTCACTTCCTCATGTAAGGAAGCCGAGAGGAGTCGAGTGGCGTATTCGGGTTTGCTCAATTTGGTCGAAAACCGGTTTTCGGTCGTAATCTGAAGTGTAAAAAGCCTCAAAATTTCTGGTCGAAACCCGATTTGGTCGATAACAGAGACGTTCGAAAACCGAGGTTTGACTGTACTGACAAAAAGTGGTCTTGGACATTTCTAAATATAAAGACAAACATTCACGATCTTAACGCTAAGATAACAAAAAAATGGCATTGATACCGTCAAACACGGATGTCAAACTCAAGGCCCGGGGGCCAGCTCTGGCCCGCCACATCATTTTACGTGACCCACAAAGGCAAATCAAACATGTCAACTTCCTTGATGCTTACAAAATGTCGAGGGTTGTTTGAAAAAAATGCCAACCGGAAAGTTTTTTTTCAACGTAGAAATTCTCGGTCGGTCGGGTTACCGGAAACACACGACTTTTTTTTCTACGCCTTATGTTAACTGTTTTGTTAAGCGCTTTGTTACCGCTGCAGCTGTTGTGAAAGCGCTATAAATCAGGATGTATTGTATTGTATTGCGTATTTTAAGCATTTTCTTGTGACCTAACCCCTCATTACAGTAACTTAAACAATACAGTCATACCTCGGTTTTCGACCATAATCAGAAGGCTGTTCGAAAACCGATTTGTTCGAAAACCGAAACCACGCTCTTTTTAAAAAAAAAAATATTTTTGAACACGTCTGCTCACAATGGAACGCTACACGAGGAAGCGTCACTTCCTCGTCTACTGGAGGAAACGTCACTTCCTCATGTAAGGAAGGCGAGAGGAGTGAAGTGGCGCATTCAAGTGCGCTTAGTGTGGTCGAGAAGCAATTTTCGGTCGTAATCTGAGGTATTAAAAACTCAAAATTTTTGGTCGAACACCGATTTGGTCGAGAGCAGAGACGTTTGAAAACTGAGGTTTGACAAGTTGAATAAACTGTTATTATTGACTTTGTTATATGGTTTCAGTCATAAAGGCCCTCCAAGGGAAACGGTCACTAAAATGTGGCCCACGACAAAAATGAGTTTGACACCCCTGCCGTAAAACCTCATAAAACATATATTGTATTGCGAAAAAACTTGCAGTACTGCGGGGGCACAAGGGACGAACCAACAATTATCTGGGGTTCACTGTACATATTCTTGTGATTCCAATGCTTGTTTGCCAATTTTTTTTCCATGTTGAAGATGGCAAAAATAAAAGGATAGTCCTCTCAGGGTTTTTTTTATACTTTTGTATCCGATTCAATTGCTCTTCCGAATGTACAGGGTGTCCATAAAGTCTCTTTATCATTTCAAAAAATCATTAAAAATGCAATTGATTAGATATTTTATTCAGATTTGTTCCATTGTATTTAGTGTTTATTAAAGTTTTTTTTAATTTTTTTTTTTTTTAATCACACTGCCCAAAGGTGAATGTGTGGTGTGGGATCATGTGCAATCGAATAATTGGTCCATTTTTCTTCAACGAGACATCAATTTCTGCAAATGTTTACCTTGATCTTTTAACTGAATATGTGGCACCACAACTGAATGACCTTCAACCAACCATCATTTTTCAGCAAGATGGTGCACCACCACATTGGGGGCTGCATGTTCGTGGGTTCCTCAATCAAACATTTCCAGACCGGTGGATTGGAAGGGATGGGCCAATTCCTTGGCCGCCACGTTCACCAGATATCACTCCCCTGGACTTCTTTCTATGGGGCTATGTTAAACATATTGTATATCGGACAAAGATAAGGGACATTACTGACCTAAAGCAAAGGATTACTGATGCCATTGCCACAATTGATGAGGCTATGCTACAGCGAACATGGCAAGAAGATGAGGCTATGCTACAAGCGAACATGGCAAGGAATCGAGTACCGTCTTGATGTGCTCTGTGCAACTAATGGTGCCCATGTAGAAGTGTATTAAAAGAGGTTAAAAAACTTTAATAAACGCTGAATACAATCGAACAAATCTGAATAAAATATCTAATCAATTGCATTTTTAATACATTTTGAAATGGTAAAGAGACTTTATGGACACCCTCTATTTACGGGATTCAGATTCGGCTGGATCCTGTGACTGGTGACTAGTTTGTGCTCAGGTTGGCTAACTCGTTTGCCTGGCAACAACTGACGCAGGTCATGTGACCGGGCGCTTCTTTTTTTGAAGCGTCAATTCCTCATTCAAGCACAGTTCATTTTTCTGGACTTCAGGATATGGCTGCGTCAGCTCTGGTCGCCTGCCTCCTTTTCCTCACCTTCTCCGTGACAGGTACGTGTATTTCCATACAACTACATGCACTATACGCATCAGTGCTTTTGAGATTGCTCACGGCCCCACCATCTGAAGTGACAAGAGTTCACAAAGTAGCAAAACATGCGACTCTACGTTGGCGCACAGCACTTTTGTAAAATCACCCTCTCACCGCAATACAAAAGAAGTGGGATTGAAACGTTTTTAATTTTTGAAATTGCAACAACACATTCAGCATTGTACACAAACAAAAAAAAAGCTGAACATAATCGGCTGAAATTTTTCATATCGTGCATCACGCACGCGCGCACACACACACCCACGCAATGTCTATAACCGTAGAGTGAAATAATTTGTTTTGGCAGATGGCTACCTGCTGCATGTGGAACATGTCTGTGTGTTCAACTCGAGTGACCCGAATGACATCGAGTACTTGCTGATTTACAACTACAACAAACTGAAGCTTTTCAGCTTCAGCAGCACTTTGGATATGTTCGTCGGCTACACCGAGTTTGGCATCAAGCAGGCTACCTACTTCAACAACGACAAAGACTACATCGCCAACGTGAGAGCCGAGAAGGAACGCGTTTGTTTCCACAATATTAAGCTTGACTACGAAAGTGCGCTCACCAAGTCAGGTACAAAAACATGATAATCAGCCGCCGAAGAGAAGCACAAAACGTGCGTGTCTGTAATAACATACCTGGCGTCTGGAAAGTATTTGCAGCTCTTATGTTTCAGTCGCCTTTCCCAAATGAAAATGGATTCAATTGATTTCTGCACTCAAACAAATCCATCATGACAACACGACGATATGAGAACAAACCACATTCGGCGGGTCGACGAGTTCTCAACATTCTTACACCACGTACAATTTAGCTCTCCAACCAAGTAGCACTATTATGATCAACATTAAAATCGTGAAAAAGGTTATAGTTGATGTTATTATAAGTTACTTTAACATGATGCAGTTTGAATATCACACTGATTAAAATTTACGATTAATTTAAAATGATATATATTAATAAGTTTAATAAAAATAACATGTTAACAGTACTTCTGTAAGCGGGTTAGCGGGATCCTGCAGACCATTGTCACACCTGAACAATCACTGGATGAGATAGTCCAGACGAGGGCCTGAAGAATATGGATATTTTGAGTCTGGCAGAATAAAATTGTTATCAATTAATCTGGTGAATAATTAAATCTATAATAAGGATAAAATAACTATCCCTTAAAAATAACTTTTTTTTTTTTAATCTCTTAACACTTAGAATACAGATATGAACTACGGGGAGAATATTCCACTCTGCATAATATGTGGCAATGGATGAGTCCTATTTTTCATGCACTTTTTATTTGTGGTCTATCTTATTTTGAAGGCATGTGTAAACATTACCATAGCGACCAGAAAGTGTTGCGGCCAGATCGGACGTCCCTCGTGTCATGATTCGTGATTATTATTATATTACGAAAATAACACAAGTTTTCATGCATGTCATATCATATTATTTTGTTGTATTCATCCGGACATAAGTGCCGGTCCCTGAAGATTTGTGACACTAAACCGGTCCTTGGGGCAAAAAAAGGTTAGGGACTGCTGCTTCAGTATTTTTGTTGTGAGCAAAAATAAAGAAATAAACGGAATCGATTTGGGAGTGGGGCTGTCACAAAAGAAAGTGTGGAAAAATTGAAGTGCTGCAAATCCTTTCGAGCCACGCTGTTCATCTGAAAGTCAGGCGCTTTTACTTGCGTGACCCGTTGCAGCCAAGCCTTACGTCAGACTTCACTCGGAGTCTCCTCCGGAGGGCTCCCACTCCGCCATGCTGGTGTGCATCGTCTACGACTTCTACCCCAAGCAGATCCGCGTCACCTGGCTGAGGGACGGCCAGGAAGCCACAGGCGAGGTGACCTCCACCGACGAGATGCCCGACGGCGACTGGTACTACCAGGTCCACTCTCACCTGGTCTACACGCCTAAGTGAGTCCACCCGCCGTCGCACCGTGACGTCGGCGGCCATGAAAACCAAGTAACGGTTGTCATTTGTTTCCAAGGTCCGGAGAGAAGATCACCTGTGTGGTGGAACACGCCAGCCTTGACAAACCTCTGCATGTGGACTGGGGTAATGCTCGTCTGGCTCAACCGCCTCGCTCTCACCTGTTCCACAGCAACCGCGATCTCACTCGAAAGATGTAATTCTGTGTGGTATCAGGATCATTAGTGGTTCATGGGCTCCCTCTAGTGGTCATTGCCAAACTACAACTCAGTTGAAAAAGCTTTTTCAGTTCATCTTGTCATGGAGTATGTATTAATTTAAACGTTTCATAAAAAAAACCCAAATCAACCTGCATTATGTTACAATTACCTTTTATAAAATAAATTCAGTTCGTTTCTAATGTTATAACTGATATATAATTTTCTCTTGAAACATTTTGACTTTTTATTTTTGTAAACTACATAATTTAATCGTAATAATACAATTTTATTTTCCCCCCAAAATTGAGCTTATGTTGAGGTTTTTCACATTAACTTTATGCTCGACGCCTTTATTTCTGTAAAGTGGGGGTCTTCAATCCTGTTTGTCGAGAACCGCCGTCCTGCCCGTCTTCTATTATTCCCCGCCACAACGCACCCGATTCAGATGATCAGGATTGTGGCCTCTCCGGACCTTGCTGATTATCTGATCATTTGAATTAGGTGTGTTCAGGTGAAAAACAGGACGGTGGCCCTCGAGGAACAGGATTGAAGACCCCCGCTGTAAAGTTAGAGTTTTTTCTTGGAATATTTTGACATCATTCTCATACAGTATACATCTGACATGTAACACTTCAACTTGTTGTTTCTTTGTTTTTCAGTGTTTTCTCCTTTTTTTTTTACATTTTTTGTACTCTGCATTGTAATCTGGAATAATGCCCCCCCCCGTCCTCCCATTTACAGATTGAGTTTACTCCTGTAAACCTGAGGGATGTTTTCCCTCACGGTATCACAACTTTGTTCATTTTGTTTTCAATTTGAAGTTTTGAAAATCAACTTTAGGGATAAAACAATACATTTTGATAAACATTTCAGTCTGCCATGCTACTGGATTTAAACGTTGGCTACAATGGCAGTGGCCGGAGCTAAATATTTTTCAAGATGCTCCGTGACGTTATGAATTTGAAAAGCACCGCTCGAACATGTCTGAGTCGCTCATCCGTCTCACTCTGGTGTCTCTCTTAACTCATCTGTCTCGCTCACCTCTTTGTTTGGTTGTGTGTGTAACTTGACTCCGGGTAGATACGTCCCTCCCCAAGTCGGAGAAAAACAAGTTGGCCATCGGTGGGGCTGGACTGACTCTGGGTGTGGTCCTTTCCCTGGGAGGCTTCTTGTACTACCGAAAGCAGTGTCGCGGTAAGACTTGCTCCGCGTGTCATGTGATTCTTCTCCTTCTTCTTGACTCTTCTTCTCGAATTCTGGACGCAGGTCGCATTCTGGTTCCCACCGACTGATTCGGCTCCCGGACCAACCCGCTTGGGCTTTGCCGCATTTGATCAAGATTGTACACGTTTCTGCTCGCACTGAGTGATCAATAGATTGGATCGGTTGCTCATCATTTTAGCTTTATGAGACAACTCGGAGTCACTGGCTACCGATTTGTTTTGCTTAACTGACTCCAGCTCTCACCCAATGATTTGCCCCGCTGCACATGATGACTAGCCTTTTATTATTAAACTTGTCCAAATGAGAAATAACATGATCAGACTACGACAAACCAGATCAGGGAAGACTAGGATAGACCAGTACAATCTGGACTAGACTCCAGCAGACCAGACGAAAACAGTGTAATCAAGTCAAAAACATACCGAACAAGACCAGGCTAGATGGACTACAACAACAGGCCACATTAAATTTGACTTGCACAGAACAGACAAATCTACCACATGTTGGACTCCAGGGGTAGGAAACTCCGGTCCAAGAGAGCCGCAGTCCTGCTTGTTTTAGAAGTTCCCTCTTCCAACACACCTAATTCGAGGGATCAGGGTCGTTATCGGGCTCTTACAGAGCCTGCTGATGAGCTCTGCGTTTGAATCAGGTGTGTCGGAGGAAGGGGAAACTTCGAAAACAAGCAGGACTGCGGCTCTCTCGGACCGGAGTTGCCGACCCATGTTCAAGACAAAACAAAGCAAACCCAGATGAGACGACAAGAACGGTACAGGACAGACTACAACAGATGCAACAGCCAACACCGTCCTAGCACAGGCCAGATTAGACCAGCATGCAACTCGCCCGCCCAGCAAAGACTACGTTCAATCACTCTAGAAAATATCAGTGAAGAATATAACAAGATCAATCAAGATTAGTACAGATCAGCGGACAACCACACCAGACACCGAGACAACAACAGACCACCAGACTAGACCAAAACAGACCCTCACAGCACAAGACTACAATAAATCAAAAGTAGAAACTTGAGTGAAGAACAAAACAAGATTCGACAAGACTACAACACACCTGACTAGAAGGGTGGTGGAGGACCAGACAAGATTAGACTTGGCTACACCAGGTGAGAACGGACCAGATGAGATCAGGTTATAACAGTTTGGACCAGACCAGGCTAGATTACTTTATTTTGCTTTTTTGATGAATAAACTTAAGTGATTGTGATGTGTTGTCTTTTTTGTGTGTGTGTGTGTGTGTGTGTGAGAGAGAGAGACGGTAAAGCGGTTGAGGACTTCAAGACCGGAAGCCAAGAAGTAAGGAAAGCCGTTTGAGCATTTATTCTGATGTTAGTACACTCTGTCCTCATTTGTCAAACAAAAATTCCCATCAGGAGAATGAAATGTCAGATAATCAGGAAAAATAGTCACAGCCTCATCCGCCCAACTCATTCTGATTAGCAGGCTGAATTGTTTTAAAAAAAGTCAAAAAGGAGGTCACTTTAGGTCACTTTGCCTGTTGCAGAATTGCAATCCATTCGCACAAAGCCATGATTTTTTTTTTTTACATGGCCCAGCAAAGCATCTTGTGATCTCAAAGCCCTGAATTCACTCTGTGTCTGTCTGTGTGTGCGTGTGTGTTTGAGCCCCATTGTTGTATTTACACACGCACAGGTGCGTGTATATAACATCCATCAATGAATCAATCCGTAAATAAATAGCAGAATATAAACACATTACCTACACTCTACACTGATCATACTTTGCCCGCTCCTGCGTTGCCAAGGATACACAACATGTGCACAGGAGTGGGGAGGGGGGGGGCGTCTTTTGTGCAATCAGAGCCGGTCGCGGGTCACCACCCAGATGTACGGGCCGCTCTGTTCCTCAATGACCACTTTGACCTGGTGGTACACTTCCTCGAAGGTGTCCCCGTGCACAATGGCTACACACACACACACACAGACACACACACACGTTAACAGCTGGACAGCCACGCCCACAAACAATGTCAACGGGCAGCGGCGTCCAGTGTACCCGCGACCCTCGTGAGCATAAGCGCTGGACAGTCACGCCCATAAACAATGTCAACGGGCAGCGCGTCCAGTGTACCCGCGACCCTCGTGAGCATAAGCGGCTCAGAAAATGGCTTCCTTTTTTTTTTGTCCATTCCATCTTTTAGCTCTTTCTATTGAACCCCAGAGCAATTTTCTGACATGCATTTGTTGGAATCAGTTGAACTGACTGGTAGAATAATTTTATTTGTTTTATAAAAATGTTCTCTGGTATTTCATTATTAATTCTAACCTTTCAGAATTAAAAGAGATGTTTTCAGTATCACAATTTCTAGAAATGTAATAGCCTCAAGTTATTGATTAACAGCATTTCAGAAGAGTAATTTAGATACAGTGTATGTATGGACTGTCAAACTAATTTTTGTTGTGGGCCACATTTTAGTTACCATTTTCCTGGCAGGGCCGATATGACTGAAACCGCATGAAGAAGTCAAAAATAAATGTTGATTCACCCATTGTTTAAGTTACTTAAATAAGGGGTTAGAGAACAAGAAAATGCTTACAGCATCACTCTTATTTATTACAACTGAGAATTTGAAATTTTGGTAGCGATTTTCGAAAAATCATCATGAAAGTTGCCATCTATGATTTGCTTTCGCGGGCCACATAGAATGATATGGCGGGCCAGATCTGGCCCTCTGGCCTTGAGTTTGACACCTGTGGACTGAACTATTGTACAAAAGACACAAAACATAATAAAGTGAAGCTCTGTGAATACTTTCCGGGTGCACAGTAGCCAGCAAACATATTTACCAGTGAAACACTCGAGGAAGTCCTGTTCCATTTTGATGGCTCGATCCAGAACTTTCCTGGCCTGGTCCTCAGACAGACGCTTGTTCAGGTCACTGCACACGCGCACACAGACACAAACACACAAAATGAGAATGTTTCCCGACCGGTCAGCAGGTGGCCTGTGACGGACTAACAGGATGTTCTCCAGAGATCGCGGTCGGATGAAGATCGCGATGGGGTGGAGCTGAGCGGCCTGCAGCCTCCTGACGGCGTTGGCTGACACATCCAGGATGCAGTGCTTGCCCTACACAGGTGCAGGCAAACAGTAGCAAGGACGATAAGAGCACACGTATGCAAGCATCAAACCTGTCAACTCATACAGTTTAGCCATAGTTCATACGGATTTTGTGGTGAATCTTACGTATATGGCCGTATCGCACAAATCATACGGATTCTGAAAATTTCCGGGTCCCCCCCCAACAGGTACTTCCGTTTGCTTTTGCCCAGAATGGTGCTAGTCTACTCGAATGCTTTCATTTCCAGTAACTTTCCAGTAAATCACGTGGTTCCCAGTTGAAAACAGCAGAGTATTCATTGCATACTTCGGTAGTGTACAAGCAAGTTCTACAAGGAAACAAATATATCATTCATATTGCGCAATGGAACCAACAAGAAAGAGAAGTAAAACGAAGCACGGTGGAAGGTTTCTTCAAGAATGGATATCGCAGTTTAATGGCGCAATAATGCCTGGTAAGACTGAAGAATATGCTCATTGCACAATTTGCAAACGCGAAGTAAAAGTTAACCAGACATTGTATTATGGAGATCTACAATAAATATCATTGAAAATTTCGTGGGTTTTTTTCTGCCGTTATTTTGACATATAAAATGCTTTGGTATGTTATAAGGCTTTTTTGCTCTTTATCAGGATTTTTTTTTTTGGTAGTTTTTACAGGTTGGCGCTCCGAAAAGTTGGCAGGTATGAAGCATCGTCATGGCAACCCGAAGTTTGCCCAGCGGCGTCGTCATCGGAGCAAGAGGAGCGTCTTACCTGGCGGGCAACCTGTCTGACGCTTTGCACCGACGTGCCGTACAGGTGGTTGTTGTATTGACCCGCCTCGATGAAGTGATGCGACTGGATGTCGCGCTCCATCTGTTCGCGGGACGCCACAAAGTGGTAGTCCCGCCCGTCCACCTCGTAGTCCCTCCGGGGGCGAGTCGTGTCTGCAGAGGTTACGAGGAGGTCACTTATGTGCATGTAAAATGTTTTCTTTTTTTTAAATCGGGAAATAATTCAACTGCTGTGTAAGTTACTGTAACGAGAGGTTTGGTCACAAGAAAATCTTACAATATCTCTCTTATTTGTTACGTAGGACAATTTGAAATTTCGGTACAGATTTTAGCAAGCGTCATGGAAGTTGATTTGCTTTCGCGGGCCACATAAAACAATGTGGCGGGCCAGATCTGGCCCCCGGGCCTTGACTTTGACACCTATGTACATGGACACAGGTACAGCACAAATGATCAGATCAGCTCCTTACAAAGGATAAAGAAGATATGACTGCGAGTACTTACATTGAGTGTCTGAAAGCGTTGAGACAATGTTTGTGTTCAAATATCAGTTGCTGTACATTTCCCAATCTATGTTAGCATTAGCATTGTGCTGGTTTTAATAACACAATGTGTAATGCTCCAAGTGGTAGGTTTAGTTTGACAGTAAACCTCAACTAGGATTTACAATAAACAGCTTCAAGGCAATTTTTTTTTTGAGAATTATTCACCATTTGCCAAAGTGCCGCTTTCTGTCAAGTGATTTGACCTGACGGCCACTCTACAGCGCTCATGTTTTGCTTGTCGAAGTAATCAAACTGTCCAAATGATGGCTTTTTTTCCTCAGGCCAATTTGAAGTGAAGGCACCATCGTAGTTCATGACTCCGTCAAATTGAGTTTTAGCCGAGCGAGTCGCACTCACGTGGTACGCAGGAGCCGAACTTGTCCGGGAAATCTGTGAGCAGGTCGTCGTTGACTCGGTCTTTGGTGGGTCCCAGGACGATGATGGGTCGGGCGTAGTCCACTGCGGAAACAGCGGTTAGTGGCCCGTCACGTTCACTTGCTCACGTTTTACTCTGTCTGTGAGAAAAATCGTGGTACACCTTTTTGCTTTCTTTGGTGGTTTTTCTAGTTGTACTGATACCCTCGATATATCCTGTCCTTTTGTAAAACGGGTCACTTGCCAGTGAACCCCAACCTATTCATGCTTTCCCATTCACAGATGACAGATTTTTTTCCTTCCGTGGAATCAATTCTTGCGTCAAGCCGCTCTCACCCCTGCCCAACCCACCTTCAGTCTGCGCCACCGCCTCGTAGCTCTGGACCAGCCCTGCAGCAGGAAACCACAACAGTTACACACTGCCCCTTTATCCCCCTCACTGAATTTGTCATCACTGCACAACTTGCCTTGAGGTTTCATTCGGGACCACTCCTTCCTCTCAACCCTGAAACACACACACACACACACACACACACACACACACACACACACCCACACACAA